TTAATAGTGGGAAACTGTGAAAGAGGCAGGAGGTAAGAAAACAGAAATACCACATGAGGGCAGCACACACCAAGGAAACAGTTTGAAAGAATTCATAAGGATTCCGAGTCCACCTTCTCCTCTCTCAGTCTCTAACAAACACAGAGGCTGCAGCTCTCTGCTCTGCTGCTGCCAATAATCTGGATTACTCAACTACACACTCATCCACTTTAAGTCCATTTCACCCCAATTTTAGTTGGCAATATTTATTAAATTTCAATTTACAAAGTATCTTGTAGGCCGTGTTTCTTCATCATCTCCAGGTCTCCTATCTGCAAAACCAGGTGAACTAAAAACATCTTGTTCTCGTGTTCTGCTCTCTCATAACAGAGACTGTTATTTTGCCGTTTTAGTGGATTTAACTGCAGCTCAGAACAAGCATATTGTTCTTCTCATATCAGTGCCTTTCTGTTCTTAGGAAATAATCCTCCCACAAATGTACACTGCCACTTTGGCAAACATAGCAAACATTGGGACTAATTACATCTTACTTTACTGGCTGGATATGGGTGTTGGGTAGGTGTACTGTTCAAATTTCAATTAAATATTTGTACCTGCTGATGTCATCCTGACTGCAATGGGCATGTTTTACAGTGGCTCTGCAGAAGCGAACACCCTGTCTCAGATTTACAACTGTAGCTTTCTTTTTGCCTACATTTGGTGGAAGAAGCTCCATGCATCAACATGGGCAGGTGAGGGGGAGCTTGTTCATTGTCTGCTTCTTTTACAAATTCCTTCTACATAAGTGAGTGTCTTCCTCCCCCTGCAGGCTGGTGTGTTGAATCACTGCAGGACTGGGGCTCCTATATGAAACTGGCCATCCCAAGCACGTTAATGATTTGTTTTGAGTGGTGGGTTTATGAGTATGGGGGATTTTTTTCAGGTAATCAGCAGATTAGATTTCATCAAGTTAATTTGTGGATAACACAGTACCATTGTTAAAGCAGTGATTAATGCTACCTACCTTTAATTTCTTCTTTGTATCATTCAGGAATGATGAGTGAGGATGAGTAGCCCAGCATGCTGTGATGATGGTGGCTTTCATCACCTACATGGTATTTATGTAATGAGCGCTTGTCAAAGCATTGCACTATTTCTTCTGGGGTTTTGTTTTTAGAGATAGGATGAGAAATTCCATTATCCAGGAGAGACTCGGAGTAGAACCGCTGCTCCTCCACATCAAGAGGAGCCAGTTGAGGTGGTTCCAGCATCTGGTAAGGATGCCCCCAGGGCGCCTCCCTAGGGAGGTACTTCGGGCATGTCAGACTGGGAGGAGACCTGGGGAAAGACCCAGGACACGCTGAAAAGACTATAAGTCACTCGGTTGGCGTGGGAATACCCTGGGGTCCACCCAGAGAAGCTGGAAGAGGTGGCTGTGGAAAGAGATGTCTGGGCCTCCCTGTTCAAGCTGTTGCCCCCACGACCCAACTTCGGAACAAGCGGAAGATAATGGATGGATAGATGGATCACCAATTTAAGAATGAATCTTTTCATTTTCAAAACCTGCTTATCCTGCTCAGTGTCATTAGAAGCTATAGTGCCCATCTTCAGCCGTCAAAGGACAAGAGGAGGGTTGCCCCCTGACAGGATGCTAATCAATGACAGGAGGCCGTCCTAGGATCATTCCTAGGATCAGTTTAGGATTAACTTAACATGCATGCTTATGGACTGTAGGGGAAATCGAACACATGCACAGGGAGAACATGCAAACTCCACACGGAATGACCCCAACTGAGATTTGAACTCAGGATTTTCTTTCTGTGAAGCAACAGTGGCAACCAGCTGTACTCTAAAAGTTAACAAGCTAAAGTCTTTAGCTAAAATCTAAACGTATCAAAAGAATAGCTAAAAGCTTAAAGTTGCAAAATGGTATCTACAAACTAAAAGCAACATAATGTTAGCGAGATGCTAAAAGTTGAATAAAGCTAGGTAAATGTAGCAATGTCTAGCTTAAAGCAAAAGTATAGATTCAATGCAATTCAAAAATACTTTATTAATCCCAAAGGGAAATTAATTGTTGTTATAGCTCATCATCCTGGTTTCATTCATGAGTTGTTATAGATGCTGATGGCTGTGGGCAGGAAGGATCTCTTGTAGTGGTCCATCCGACAGAAGAAATTGGCCACAGGTACCGATCCGTCCACAAGGACCCAGCAGACCTCAGTCCTCCTTGGCAGCAGGACTGCCTGAATGCCGGGCAGAACTCCCCGAGCGATGATCACTCCTCCCATCAGCCTGCCAAGTCCCTTGTCGACAACAGCAAACTGCAGGTGCTGGGGCATGATCCTGGTCCTCCCGCTGTCACAATCCGTGTTTCCCACCACCTCCAAGATCTCGGTGGTCAGGCACTAGAGCATCACCTCCAGGTAGATGGGAATGCATCCATGGCATCGCCTTTTCAACTCATTGGGGATTTGGGGCTGTAGTTGAGGAATTATTTGAGCTTTGAGACATTAATCCCAGTTGTAGAAAACCACCTTGTTGTTATGGTTACACATCATAACAAATGTTCAAAATTAAAAAAAGATTTCAGTAAAAATCCTTCCAGCTGCACAGCATCCGATACCAGATGAAGTAATCATCCAAAAACAAAAGTGATTTACATCCAGAAAAAGAGGAATTAAAGTTTTCAAAAGCAAAATCTCAGAATGAATGTAACAGCTACTCCAACATGCACCCACCCCGAGTGGCACAATTCTAGAACAGTGTAAAATTCTAGATAAAGTGTAAAATTAGTAAAGTCTAGCTAAACGTAAGAAAAGTTAGTTCTGTTGCTAAGAGTAGTAAAAGACTGTCTAAATGTAGCAGTACATTAGCTAAAAGCTAACAGTAGCAAAAAAGTAGCCAAAAGGATAAAGTAGCAAAATGGTAACTAAAATCTGAAAGTAGCAGAAAAAGACAAATAGACAAGTGGGCTTAAGTAGCTTTTAGAGAACAATGTTTTTGAAAGGAATGAGTAAATCTCACTGTTCTTTTTTTCCAGTGGGGGAATATTTTTAAATGTTTTTCTTTCAGCTGCTCCTTTATGCAGAAGTCGCCACAAAAAACAAACTCGCAAGAAATATTTGGCAATCGTTTTTCACTGGGTGCCCAACATGACACAAATTGTGCTTGATCCTGCAGCCTCAGAATTAGGCTGCAGCTCTGACCACCATGTCATCGTAACACTACATTCAATGTAAATAAACTTTAAAGAATGAATGGTATAAAAACTAAAAGTCATTTCATCCATCTCCTCAATGAGTGTAATATTTTGGTATATAAATAGCACAATGCATGCAGAAGTAGTCGGATTGCAAAAAAGAAGTACAGAAAATAATAGAGAAACGTTTTGAAAGAAGAATTCGTATTTTACTCATTTATACTTTTATGGTGACAACTCAAAGGATTAACTCACCTAATTTGTACAATTTCAATTAAAATAACTGGAAATGCTTGAAAGGGTTAAATTCTTATTGTCTCCAATTGCGTCCATATTTTGAACAGCCATTCTGTAAATACATTCACTTTGAAGGGATAAAAATCTGATTATTGTTGGGAAGTTTCCTCCACTGACCAGATCTGGAGTTAGTTCATTGTCTTTTCACGTTTCATCATTCGGAACATTTTTCCTTTCAAGTCCCACATGCTGATCTTTGTTGTGACCACAGCCTGCTTTGTTGTCTTTGTGTTACAATCTCTGTTGTTTCAGCTGGCCTGGTCGACTTCCAGGGAAGCTGTGGCCGCAGTAAGAGCTCCATCCCTGGCAGCATCCAGAAAACAACGATGCAGGGGAAAAGTGAGACACATTCGTGAAAGGAGCTACACTTTAAACATGGAGGTGTCCAGTGACAAGCTTTTCTGTTGCAGCTGGGTGCACCACAGGGTTCCTGTGGCCCACCGAGAGGAACTGTACCACATCCTGAGGATGACGGGACCTCTGGTAAGAACAGGCGTTGTTTACATGTTGAGACTGTCTGGACAGTGATTTCAACAGATAGTAGTTTCAAGAGAAGAATGATGGCAGTCTTTCTCTGTCAAAAGGTTAGGAGCTGTACAACTTGCCAACAGAGATCAATAAACTTAAAACATTGGCACATTTTTGGTGTTGAACTGTAGCAGCATCAAAGCACATCTGTCCGAGCAAGGTATCACAGCAAAGATGGCCTTTTCTCCCAAAATGCAGTGCAGATTAGACTTTGCTGATTTTGTTGAACAAGGAATTGTTAATTGAATTGGTAACATTAACACAATCAGAGAAGAAGCTAAAATGAGTAAAACTATAGTTACAAGCTCAAATTAACAAAGCCACAGCTAAAATAGAAAAGCTGTAGCTAAAAGCTGAAATCAGGTAAACAGCAGTTAAAAACATAAATTAACTTAAAAAATTGCTTAAAAATAAAATTACCAACACATGAGTTAATACCCAAAACAACATAACTGTAGATAAATACTTACATTAGCAAAAATAATTATAAAAGTAAAAAAAAAAATTTGAGTTAAAGACTAAATGTAGCAAAACTATAGCTAAAACCTAAAATTAGCATACGACAACTAAAATAGAGCAAGTTGTGAACGCTGAAGTAGCTTTTAGTGAATTATGTTTTTGAAAGAGTTACTACAGGAAACATTTGTAATTAAAATGAGATATTTCTAAAAGTAGACAAGTTACAAATACGTAAAGTCATTTTACACTTTTCCTGGCTGAGGTGAACTTTTGTGTGCGCAGAAGCATATTCCTCCCAAAAACACACAGAAAAAACTTAAAAGTTCATGCTCAATAATACAGACACAAACCCAACAAAGTTTAGTCATGACATCTGGATGGTTAATATTTTTGCCGATATGTTTTGTCCTTCATCCAGAGGACTTCATCAGTCCAAGGAGCCACAATAAAACTGATTCCCACAAGCAGCACACTCCGATAGTGGCAAAAACAGTTTGCTGGTAATAAGATGATTTCTGGGGCCCACCCTCTCCCCCGTCAACTTGGGGTCAAACGGAGTCAACAAACAAAGAAACTGTCCAGATGATCTGACTGAATATTGTTGGATTTTTTAAATCTGGATTAGTGAGCATGAACTTTTATGTTTTGAACCACTTTGGCTATGACTGACTCAGAGGAGTTGACGGGGGAGAGGGTGGGCCCCAGAAACCATCTTATCACCAGCAAACTGTTTTTTTTTTCCCACTATTGGAGTGTGCTGCTTGTGGGAATCAGTTTGTTTGTGGCTCCTCGAACTGAAGAAGCCCTTTGGATCAAGGACCAAACGTCTCAACAAAAAAAAAAACTGTCCAGATGACCAGACTGAACATTGCTGGATACAGAAGAAACTACACACAGGGAAACATTAGCATGGTTGCTGCTGAATCAGCATTCACTAAAACAGTGAAATATCTTCCTCGAGCCTGCAGCTGGTTGACCTGCGGTCCTGTTGTCTTTCTAGCTGCTGTCTCGAATTCTTAATTACCTTCTTCCGTTTGTGGTGACGATGTTCTGTGGGCGTCTGGGAAATGAAGTGATGGCCGGCTATGGATTAGCCTCTGCTGTAAGTGCTGTTTCACGTAAACTCATGGAGGCTCATTTTACATAATGACGAACAAAGAATGTTTTCCAGCAGCGTTTTGCAAAGAAAATGACTTATTTTTAAATTTAAGATGGTTCAGTCACAGTTATACTTAATAATGCTTCTTCTGATGTTTCCATTTCAGACCATTAATGTTACCTCTGCTGCAACCGGATATGGTCTGGGTTTGGCATGTGATACTCTAGTATCTCAGGTCAGAAAGACGGTTTTATATAACCATTTATTAAACAACTGTTTTGTTAATGAAACCAAATATTTGGTTCTGGTTCTCTGTTCAAAATATGCATTATACTGACAGACGTTTGGAGGTAAGAACCTGCTGCAGGTGGGAGTGATCCTTCAGCGGGGCATCATCATCCTCATGTTGTTCTGTTTGCCCTGCTGGGGGCTCCTCATCAATGCTCAGGCCATCCTGCTGTGTCTGGGGCAGGACCCCGAGGTGGCCAGGTAAAGTAGTAAATATGTTGCAACAATATAATTATAACAACGATCATGGAATGGTCGAGTCTTTTCCTATAAATTACTTCAAACTAGCTTTACATTCATTTTTGTTTAATAACCCTAAAATTTCTCTTCATAAATACTTTTAAACACCAAACTTCACAGAAAGATTCCCATTATAACAAAACTATTATCAAGAAATGACCTAACTTGTGTAATAAATCATATTTAGGAAAACTTGTAAAAAATAAGAAGTTAAGAAAATAAGTCACCCTACTTGTCTAATTATCATTAATTTAAACATTAAAAAAATTGTAATTCCTTCAAGATTATATTCTCACCTGAAGTGGAAACTTCTTGAACTTTTAAAGTTTCCACAAGTGTTTTGTTTTTGAAATTGTCCACTGCTTGATCTCATTAGAGGTTTTGTGTTTTCAGAATTGCCCAGCTTTACATCACAGCTTTCCTCCCTGCAGTGCCTGTAAGTCACTTTTATTCCCAATTTTCTTCTCACATCACACATTGTCAGGTAATAAAAAGACAATTAAAAATGAAATCTCTGTAGGCTATGTTTCTGCATCATCTTCAGGTGTCTTACCTGCAGAATCAGGTGAGATTTTGTCCTAAACATGGAACATTGTCTACTTTGATTCTGAATCATCAAATCTTTGTGTGCAGAAATATTAATCTTCCTTAATTTTTTCTGACATTTTATTAAATGTGAATGTTATTTAAATCACATTTTCTTGTATTTGTGTCTCAGGGTATAATTTTTCCACAAATGTACAGTGCTGCTTTGGCAAACCTTGCAAACGGGGTCACAAACTACATCTTCCTTTACTGGCTGGATTTGGGAGTTGGGTATGCATGCTCGTGTAGCTCAAGTCACCATCTAAGGTTTTATTTAAATGGTAAAAGCCCCTTTAGCACTTCTCTCTTGTGTTTTGCAGTGGATCTGCAGCAGCAAACACTCTGTCTCAGATTTATATCTGTGTTTTTCTATTTGCTTACATCCGGTGGAAGAAGCTCCATGTAACCACATGGGCAGGTGACGGATGGTTGTAGTTTAATGGTTGATCGCACAATGAGCTTCTTTTTTTACAAGGTTTTCAGTGTCTTCCTCCTCCTGCAGGCTGGACTACAGAATCACTTCAGGAGTGGGGCTCCTACATGAAACTAGCCATTCCCAGTACATTAATGAAGTGTTTCGAGTGGTGGGTTTATGAGTTTGGGGGATTTTTTGCAGGTAATCCAATTTATTTAATCTGTATATAAAGGGGGAAAACATTGGAGAAAGTATTTTAGCACTCCTTGTCTACTGTTCAGGAATGCTGAGTGAAGATGAGCTTGCAGCCCAGCATGCTGTGATGATGGTGACCTTCATCACCTATATGGTACTGAGATGCGACTGCATTATAGAGCCGTTTCACTTTAAATTTGGTATCAAACTCTTTTTCATGCTTATCATGTATACGTTATGTTATGTCAAAAAGTTTTTAATAGTACAATTGACCATGTGATCAATCGTAAAGCACAAAGTATGAAGAAAAGGCTAATAGGCTTATAGCCAAAAACTTATAGGCCGAAGTGACGTAATTATGGATATTTTCCTCCATATTTACAGACCAATTTTTGGCTGAGATATGACCGTTTTCATTCATTCTGACTGAAAAAAAAATTGCACAGTACCATTTTCAGCCAATAGATGGCAGCAGAGTAGTAGTAGCAGTATGGCATGTGTATGCTCTTCAAGCTCATAAAACAATTTTTTTTGAAAATGCTATGGTTTGAAAGCATGTTGCATTACCTCATATTAAACTTCAACAATTTTGCATGACACCACTTGTTTAGATTTAATTATTATTTTTGCAGTTTTCTCAACCAAACATGGCTCGTGTTATGAAGCCAATGTGCTGCACAGATTGGACCATTAACTGAATAAACCATGTCATGCTTATGAAATTTAATATATGAGCTAATGTTATATTCTTCCTCTGGTATTCCTGTGATAGAAGAGTTTTATTAGCATGATAAACTATATAAAACAGGCCCTCATATAGCCAATTAGTCAGTCTGGACAAAGACTTTTAGCCATTTTTCCTTACTCCATGCTCTAAAATAATGCCACAACTGATATGGTACTATCTATTGACAAGTATTACACAGACTACTTTAAAAATGATCAGCCTACTCCTTTACTTGTGAATCCATAGTTCCCACTTGGGATTCAAGCTGCAGCATGCGCTCGAGTTGGGAACGCTCTTGGTGCTGGAGACAGCGCCAGGGCAATCCTTACCAGCAAGGTGTCGCTCAGTCTTGCAGGTCAGGTAAAAAATGGATTATTTGGATTTTCTTCAGAGTCTCTGCTGTTTGATAGAATTCTCACCCTCTTTTCCCCAGTTACCTTTGTGCTTGCTGAAGGTCTTGTGCTCGGTTCCACTAAAACAGTGATTGGCTTCATCTTCACCTCTGACGAGTGAGTGAGCCGTCATCATCCCATTTCAGTACTTTAATAAAATGAAAAACTTTAATGATTGTCGTTTTCAGAAGGATCGTAGGTCTGGTGTCACATTTGATGAATGCTTATTGTTTCCTTCAGTTCTTTGATGGGCTTGTGGTGAGTCTTATACCTTGCAGTTTTTACATTAAAAATGACGTATGTTGAATATATAATGAAAATATTAGTGTTTGCAGAGATTACCAAATGAGTGAAAGGACAAGTAGAAGAATGAAAAATGTCTTTTTCCTCCAGTGTGTGTGCACAGGCATCTTCTTGGGTGCAGGCAAGCAGAAGATCCCAGCTATTGCTAATTTCATCGGATATTACTGCATAGGACTTTCACTCAGCGTCACTTTAATGTTTGTTGCAAAACTGAGAGTTTTAGGTATTTAAGAAATGATTGTATTTTGGATTTTCATAAAGTAGCATTTTCCTCTGAAGCCCACATTTCACCTTACAGAGTTATCTTTTTTCTTGATGAAGGTTTTTGGGTGGGCCTCCTGGTTTGTGTCATTTTGCAATCCACCTTCTACGTCATTGTGATTTTCAGGCTCGACTGGGAAAAAGCCACAGAGGAGGTGACGTATAGTTAATCAGGGTTATGAAAGGATCTGTATTTTGAACTAAGATGGTAGAAAAGTTTTTTTTGTTGACTGCTTTCATGCAGGCCGTGAAACGAGCCCACATGTCAGACTCCAGGGGGACAGCTGATCAGGCAGCCTGCAATGAAAAAGTAGGTACACCGCTAAACTCGATTCATGTTCAAGGTTTTATTTGGACATATTTGCTCATAAGATTAGCCTGCAATCTAATACAGATTAAACTAATTGGTACTGTGATGCTTTCACGCAGCCAGTGGCCGGCTACATGGCTGTCAGCACAGACTGCCATGATGGAAATGCTGAGAGGGAGGGAGGACATGTGGTCCAGCTGCCAAGAGGCAATCGTCTCTCCACTTCTCAGCTGATCATCCGGCGAGGCCTCATTATGTTTGCAGCCATTGCTCTGCTTGCTGTAGGAGCAATGGTGCACTTCCTGGTCCCTTTGCCAGTGATCCATTCTACAGAAAGCAACCATACTATGAACTGGATGAATGCAAGCTCTACTCCTGATACAATTTTCGTCACCGAGCTGGTCCCAAATAAAGAGTCAGCGTAAACCATAAGGTTTCTGTTTATTGTTAGCTCTTTGGCAGCATGTAGTGGCACAACTGCCAACAGGAAGAGTTAAATAACATTTTGAAGTTCTAAAGTGCAGGGAGTGTTACTGATTATGAACCGTTTCTCCTTCTGCCGTCTCCTCCTGCTTATCTCAGCGTGTGCCCATCCTGGTCCTGCTAGGTCACGCAGTGCCAACATTCACATTTTCACTGGTGGCAAAGAATCATCCACCTGACTTCAGTGGACTGTGCCGTCATGTGACCAGCAGGTTTATAATGATTCCGATCATTAAGATTGCTAGCATGACAACCAGAGCCAGACATCTTCGCCAAAGCGGAGTCATGCGAGAGGGTTTACATCCCAGTATTTTAACTGCTGGTTCGTCTTGAGCTTCAGCCAGGTCAACGGCGTTCGTTTGATCCAGGGAGTTCTCGGCATCCTCTGGCTGGGGACCTAGTCATCCAAATACAAACAAGCCTTGTTTAGAGACTTTAAAAGGAATCCCTGATATTCTTTTGAAAAGTCGGTTGTTGTGATTTGTTCATTTTTATTAGTTTTCTACAATAAAAGGTCTGGTAGTTTAACATCAAAGTCTCTTTTCTAACTTTATATGCTAAACCAGTGGGTGGACTATAGTACTGCTACTGTGTTATGGTGTAGGACATTTATCAATTCTCTGATTTTTATAATTTCCATTAAAACTTCTAGTAGCTATCATTTCCATATATTCAAGGATACAGAGACTGAGCAGGAACTAATCTTTTTGTAAACTAAACAATGTAAGAAATACCCTGATGTATGCTCTATAATCCAGGTAGATTAATCCAACAAGGTTTAGTCAAGTCTTCTGGACAGATTAGTCTTTGTTGAAACGTTTCGTCTTCTTTCCAAAAAACCTTCAGTCTTTTTCAGTTTTGCTGCAACAAACTCAGTCTTATCATTGTCATCTGCAAACTACCTGATCCACTATGAAAGGTTATGTTTGGAAGATTGTTGCAGCTCCTCAGACTGAAGAAGTCTTTTGGATAGAAGGTGAAACTTTTCAACAAAGAAGAACCTGTCCAGAGGACCTGACTCAACCTTGTTGAATGTAAAATACTTTTGCCAACTGTCTTACCTGTGTCAATGAAGATCTCATGCACGCCCGCCCTGATCTGAGCCTGCAGGGAAAATAAAAATCATAGATAAAGGGATACCAGCCTTGTCTTGTTGTGTGAGAATGTTTGAGCTTAAACTTTCACCTCGACTGTAGCCGTCTTCCAGTTCATTTTGACCAGATACAAAATGAGGAATACACACTGCAATGATACACAAATAAACAATCCAGTCCACAGACCTGGGAAAAAGAAAAAGAAGCATGTCATTCATTTTGCTCAACTGTTTTGAGATCTGAAATGGATGACTCAAATTTTTAATCCAAACATTTTTACAGTCCCAGCTTGAAACTTTACCTTTGATTCCTAACTTAGCTGCAAACATCAGTGACACTCCAATAGGAAAACCAATCCCATAATATCCCACAATGTTGCAAATCGCACCAACCATCTGTTTACCTGCTCCTCTTATGATGCTACCAGAGGCAACCTAGTCATACACAGAAACAAATGTGCTTTAATTATTAAAAAAAGAGAAATGTCATAAAAACTTTAAGTTTTGTTCAAGCAAAATAACCAAGATACCCACAGACATGGCATCCAGGAGGACAAATGGAGAATAAAACGATATAACGTCAGCAACTCTTTCCCTGATTTGTCTGAAAGAAGACATATCTGAGAATTAAAAAAACAAATCAGTTTGGATGTCCTCAGCTCTTCATTGTTTTCGTCAGTTTATCACATAATGAACAGTAATGGCGCCGCTAGCTTCAGGTTAATGTGTAAAATAATATGCAAGCCAATTTCATGGATTTCTGTGAACACAATGACTCATGTAAACGGTCAAAGGTTGTTTAAACAGGAATCCTCTCCAAGAACTGAGGCCAGTCTTGTATATGTGAATACAGCACACCTTGGGAAGTCTTTGTACACCATAACTGGAGTTAATGCTTAAACATGCACCTACTCATCATATGTAAAAACGTAAGAGATGTGATCCTTCAGGCTCCCAATGAGAATCGCCAAGCAAACAGACACCGACCCTGGGGTGAAAAGCAAGAGATGAAAGTCAGTATTTTCTGCAGCGTGTCTGATATTTTCACACTCTTCTACAGATTTCCTGGTAAACAAGAATTCATAAACGGATTAAAAAAACAAACACGTGAAATGAAGTGGTTTCTCTTCCTGTGGAAACCCTGATACAACCATCACAGTTGTTTTCCTTAGATTTTACTCTGTTCATTTTCTGCAGGGTTTTTCTGTATGTAATACTTTGTTCTATTTGAGTTAATTTTCATTCAGCTCACTCTGCAGATGGGTCCTGTGACTTTTGGTTTGTGTGAATTTCATATTTTTCCAAATATTTGTACTTTACTAATATTTTTCCCTCATAGAAATACACAGATATAATCAGTTCCTTGTTTACTGTGATCTCTGCTTCAGAATATTTGCTCTGTTTTCGTCTTTTGCTTTTACAGAGCCTTTTACTACTTTTAGCTTTTGGCTAACATTCTACATTTAGTCAGCTTTGTTACCTTTAGCTTTTAGAAACCCTTCAGCTAATTTAGCTAGTTTTTAGCTACCCTTTTGCTGATGTAGCTTTTAACTAACCTGTTGCTTCATTTAGCTTTTAGCTAGCCTTTTGCTCCTTTTGGCCTCAATCTAATGGACTGATTGGTTAGTCTTAAATTGTCCCTATAGTTGTTTGTCTTTATGTGGTCCTGTGATGGACTTGCGACCTGTCCAGGGTGTGTACCATCTCTCACACAGTGATGTCTGGACATGAGCACCAGTGACCTCGCGACCCGAAAAAAAAGCTGGTAAAGATAATAGATGGATAGATTGATCTTTTAGCCAACATTTAGTTACTTTGGGCATTTCGCTAACATTTAGCTACTTTTGTCTTTTAACTAGTGTTTTGTTCAAACATTTCAGCTTTTTCCAAAAAATATACAAGCAGCCATTCAGCTCCCAGTTTTCACAATATTCTCCCAGATGGGCATTTGAAGCTTCAAGAAGCACTGAAGCTTTTCTTATAATTATGCCGAAAAAGCTTCAAAGCTTCAATGAGGGGAGACAACTGGTGAACACAGGAGCCATGACCTCATGAGTGTGACTGAAGTGCTGACTGTTTCAATCCCATGTCAGCAAATAAAGTTTATGGAAGATTGGTCAATCATATTTTGTACAAAATAATGATTATCCAACTGATGATCTGCATTAAGCATTAAAAATAAAGGGTTTTCTTGACAATCAGAAGTACAACAAAGATATCTGATTTAAAAAAATAAATATTTGTTTTTGGAAAGAAAACAACAAATGTGTGTGTGCTTGTGTGTGTATACTCATTAAAATTATTAACTCAAATTGTAGGTTCTAGGAAACATTATGTTTTATTTGGTAGAATAAGATCAAATTGATCCCAAACCTTTGAACTCATTTTATTGAAAATTGTCAAACTACACTTGTTTTACTTTCCATAATTCTACCTCCTCACAACTCTTCATCATTTTAAGAATAATGATGCATCTTAATATCTTGTGCAGCACCAAAGCATTCAAATCACCAAAGCATTCAAATCTGTAAAACTGTGATCAGCTCAGAACGCACTGAAACTTTCTGAGTCAATATACAGTAGAGGGAAATGAAGCAGCGATGACATCATTCGAACATCATTTGTCATGCGACGGTGGTGTTTTGATACAAGCTCCGACACGGTGTTATGAATCACTGCTTCAGGAAGAGTGACACAAGCTCTGGTGTCCATATTGTTTAGCCATCACTACCAGAACGTTAGATAGTTTTCACTCGTGTTCGTGTGTTTTTGAAAGCTCTGCCCTGCACTTGTTTCTTGTTATGTTACATTAATTGAATCATATGTGCAGCATTTCCAAAAAAAAAAATTCACTGACCTGCACAAAACATTGTGGTTTTTGCAGACAGCTTGGCCTGACTGGTTTCTCCAGCTCCCAAAGCGTTTCCAACTCTCACACTGCCAGCCACACTGAAACCCATGGGAAACTACTCCGCAAAATAAGCATCTTGTTTAAAATGTTGCTCAGTTAAATACAGCATGCGAGTCATATCACTGGATAAAAATATACAATTGTTTTTAGATTATTTCGACAGAAAAAGGGCTCACCAGGTAGGCAACGTTTGCCAGTTCGTATACGACCGACTGAGCTCCGAGTTCCACCTCGCTTATTAGACCTTTCAAAGACAGACAAGTTTTGGATCAGTTTCAGTAAATAGGAATTCTTCCATAATTATAATTTTGCTTGTGGCAGTACCTGCAAGAAAGCCCCCGATCTCATATGTCCACCACTCAACGCACAGCATGATCATGGCAGGGATGGCCAAACGAATAAATGAGCCCCAGTCCTCCAGGCATTCTTTAGTCCAGCCTGAACAATGGAGCAAAATCTAATTAGAGATATTAACATGCTGTGTTGTACAATTTACGTTAAAAGTTGCTAAAAACGTGCTCAAAGTTTCGAACTTCACAAGTGAAAAACCTTTTGTCTGTCAGGTCTCTTTAATGTGTTGCCACATTCACGTAAATGCAAAGAAATGCTTCATTTATGCCGTTTATTAGGAGAATCGCCATTTGTGTGGCTTAAATCACATTTATGCATGCATCTAAATATGATCCACGCCATTTGACTTATAAAAACAGAGGTTCAACCCCAGGTGATCCGTCTGTACTCTGTTCCAGTTTCATAGCTTTTAGTTCCTGATCTACCGTCTCTACATTGCACTGATTTGCCCTTTGCTCTCTGCTGATTGCCTCTTCATAAACTTCTCATATTTACAAGTAAATAAAAGTCACTGTACAACTCTGTCTGGGCTGCTGCGTCAGCTTCACAAGTCCTGAGCTCCTTGATGAACTGTGTGTAGGTGTATTTGTTTCTTACAGTATAGCTGCCTCTGAAATAAACGGTATTGTTGACGTGTAACAAACTCGCCACATATAGATCTATAGATATATAAAACTATGAACATCTAGATGACTTCCTTTGCATTCTTGTTCGTTTGATTCACTCAGATGTTTCTTAATAACTCGGTGCAACATCTCGTCTGATTAGGATCACTGCAGTCCATGCTCACCTGCCCAGGTGGCTTTGTGAAGGCCTTTCCACATGATGTAACCATAGAGACATCCAGCCATGGCAAATTGGGAGAAAGAGTTGGCAAGAGCAGAGCCTCTGTAAAAAGTATTTTATTATGCAATATTTTTATAATTCCAGCTATAAACCCAATGCAGATTATAAAAAAGTTAAAAAATAAAACTCACTTTACTCCCATTTTTAACACGAAAATAACAATGTAGTTGATGAGGGCATTAAGAAGATTGACAACAAAGCCTGTGATCACCTGCGGCCAAATGATGCCCTAAAATGAAAGCGCTGAATGAGTTTTGTGGTTTTAACAGAAAAAAAAAAGATGCATCTGCAGTTCTGTGCATTTTTTAGAATATCTTAATACATTTTGTGATTTATGTACAACTAATTCACCTCATGAGTTCGATTCAAATACCATGTGTAATCAGTCAAAAATGACTATAACAATATAAACTGCTCAGATACTGAGCTGAAGTTTGATGTGGTCGAAGCCGAGAATCACTTCAAAAGCTTTCAGAGGAGTGTTTGTTAGCGAAATATCTTGTGAACCACTGAATGATTTTAATCAAAAATATCAGGAAATATTCAATGAATATTTCAACTGAAAACATTTAGCGATAACCCAGTTCAAGATGGCCACCACATCATCAAGGTTAGAAAAGAATGGACATTTATCAAAGAACTGCATTTGAGCGTCAGATTGCTTCATGTCTCGATGCTGCATGTAATTACGTATACAGTAAATATATTTGGTTTTTAGATTTAAATGGTCATTTTGGCATTAAATAGCAGCGACCATAATACATAGTTCATTCAAAAAATTCTAGGCCTTAACTTTTTAAAGAGGGACCAAGTCATGAGTAACGTTCCAGACATAGAATATTAAGCTGCCTCACTTTAGCTTATTGTGGGGTGGGGGTGTTCAGTGACATACCTGGTTTTGTAGATATCTTGATTCTAATGAATACATAAAAGCAGCCTGTTGAAAAAAAATAAAAATAAAAAATGAGCGGGGATGTTTATAGGAGTTCAGAGAGGAGACGAGCAGCTAATAAACCATCAGTTCAACAGAATAAATATTGATCAAATGTGAATTTATTGTGTCGATCTAAAAAGTTGACCAAGAAATATCTAATTTTTAAAATATATTTCAATTATTTAAGTAAAAATGTTGAAATTAAACTTTTTTTTTTTCAAGAAAGACTTGGAAAAAATAAATACCATTCCTAAAGTTTGGGTTTTTAAAGGAAGCAGACATTCTAATTAATTTCCTTTATAGTGCCGGGGGAAGTTTACATAAAAAACAAGTCAAACTGTATTTTTGTGACTTCAAAATGGAACTAAAGTTTCTAGGAGATGTAGAAAGAACTATAACAATAATTTCACTCTACCTTGAAACTGATTTCATCCTATTAAAAAAAGTGTTAGAATTAAAAAAGTATTTCAATATTTAACCACTGAAGCCAGTTTTGTATTTATTCATTTATGTAAATACTGAGCGGGTGACGTTTATCTTGGACGCAAACTGAAGGAAACCGTGTTATTGATTAATTTTATTTATTTTAGATTTTAAGTTTATTTAATTTTGCAGCATCCAGGCTAGAGCAATGATAAAAACAACCGAAAACCAGACGTATTTACCATTAGTTTATGTTTAAAATCAATTAAAATAGGTACACTCACAGGAAGTGCTGGCATGAAGATATTCACGTACAGCTGAGCCAACCTACAGAGACATTTTTGATCAGAGTCAACACTTTTTTTTTTTCCCAAAACTAAATAAAAACAGAAAAAAGATTAAAATCCTCACTTGGCTACTTCTGGCTCCTGTTTGACAGCCAGAAGGATGGGCTCCGTGTTGACCAGGACGGCCCAGCAGGGGAAACACGCCAGCAGCAAAATGAGGATTGCCCGTTGCAGAATGACTCCAACTCTCACGAGGTTACCACTTCCATA